AACTATAGGCATACTATACCTTAAAAGAACCGCAATAATCTAACTTAAATTGCTTTGGAGAGCGTTTTTTTGATTTAATTCGCATTTAGATTTTAAACTTGTAATACCTGTTTTATGCCAGTTTCAGTCCTGTGTCACCTTAATGAGCCCCAAGCATGAGGGCACATTTCTGCGCCCCTAACAGGCGCTGTCAGTAGCGTCACCACATAAAAAATAATCGTTATGTGGATATAGTAGACAAAAAATTTGAGCTCAAATTCCGTTTTGAGAACCCCTTATCAGATATTTAGGAGTACATTCAAATCGAAAGACGCGACACCGCGAAATTTCACTCACAAGAGCAGTCCAAGTACATTTACACTCCTGTAATGTACTGTGAGGCTCAGCGAGACCGTAAGGAGAAGAACAAAAATCTTTGGACCCGGGCAGGAGCGAGGCTGGGCGGGGGCATGCCTCCGCTCTTCCCCGTGCCGACCATTTTTGTTCTTCTCTTTCCGGGCTAGCCGAACCCCAGTACCATATAGTTCCATGCTTGAGGCAGTAGATTTTTTGGATCCCTGGAACTAGCTATTATTAATTTGTTCACTTACCTTCGCGTATTTCGGAGTGCACCTCTGTGACAAGTAAATTTGAGTCACGTTCCTCGACAGTGAATGGAATTTTCTTTGTTGCTGGCTTGGCTAGAGATGGCAACTCTGCTTCCTTCTCTCCCGCTTGTCCGATTTCAGTAATAAGTAGTCCATGTGCAGGTATAGGCAATGTTGCTTTTGCGATTGACGTGTCCAGAGAATCGATTTCAAGCGGTGTCAGATTTGATTCTGGGACTATAACGGTCTGTAATGCAGTTTCACGCTCACAAACATCAGGACGGGCCACCTCTTGTCTTGGCGCATGTTTATGTAACTCTGCTCCCTCATTGTCCTGGGCAATAACTTCTGTCACAGTAATACTTCTTCCAGTCTGGATTTGAAGATCTGCTGTAATTGTGTCGGGTTTCCGTGAGCTTTCTAAAGTACTTTCAAACTCATGAACGGAGGTTTCGGATTGCATTAAGCTCTCAAACGGAATTTGTTCGAAACGCGCCTTTTCTTTCAGTGGTTCTGTCGTGGTTATGAGGTCTGTTGAGTGTATAGCTTCGATGGCAGTCTGCTCGGCTACATCTCTGCCAAGTAAATCGATTTTAGCTTTCTGAGACGTTGGTTTTTCTGTCGAAACGAACGTATTTTCTTTGTCTTCTGGGACAATCTCAGACGACAATGCTGCTGTTTGATCAACATCTATAGAAATTCGTGCATTTTTGTGCATTTCTTTTTCTTTCAACACCAGATTGGATTCTCTTTCATTGGATATTGCTTCTGACTGAAGTAGAGCCTCAACGACAGACTGTATTTCAGCTGCATGAACTTCATGTGGCTTTATTGATTCAAGCACATCTACTCCAGAGTGTGGAACTATTTCAAGTTGTTCGGCTATGTCCCGTGCAGTCACCTCTGGGCGTGCAATTGCAGGCCTTGGTTTGGCTTCCGGACTTCTTTCTTCTTCCCGTTGTTGTATTACCGTTTCAGACACAATCGTAGATTGCGTCTCTTCAAAACTTACTTCTGCGTTTCTCGACGATGGTTTTACCAGATTCGCCACATTACCTTCCTTTTCTTGAACTAACCTTTCTGTGATTGATATAGCTTCTTTGGGCTCCTGACCGGTACAGGCGTTTTCATATTGGAGCACAAATGGCTCATCTTTTTGAACAGAGTGCATCTGAGAATCAACAACAGTCGTCACAACTCCCTCTTGACTTATGATATCTGACGATGCAATTTGGCTAGGTGGTATGGCTGCTGTCTCTAAATCTGTTTCTTTGACTTCTGGTTGTACCTCACTTATTCGGATAGAAGATTCCTCTTCAAAACCAAGTGATGCTGTTTTAGACGCAGGGGTTTTTTCTTTCGATAAGCAACTTTCTGTTTCTTGAACTATTGCTTCTTCTTGTGTCAGCGATTCAAAAAGTGATTGCTGATAGGTCGCGAAACCTTGCTTCGTTTCTTCCAGAACTACTTCACTCGGTAAGAAATTTGCGCTAACCTCGTAAGATTGAGCAACTTCTTTGGTGAGAACCTCCGCGTTTGCCTTCTTTGTAGCTGGTGCCTGTGTATGTACCAAACCTTCTTCCCTATCCTGACTTTCAACTACTGTTACGCACACGCCGCCAAGTTCCCTTACGGAAACGCTCGCAGTTGTGTGCTTCGCATCATCACTTTTGAGAAGCTCTTGTTCCCGCTCAACTATCACAGGTTGGATAGCTTGTATTCCTTCGAAAGTGTCACAATCTGGCCTAGCAGTAACAGTAATCGGACTTAACAAGGTTATATCATCAACACTTTGTTGCGTGTAGACAGCACTGACTTCAGCTGCCTCCCGCGGGGTGACATCAAGTTGTGCTTCTCTCTGCCTTGGACGTTCGGACGCATCAAGATGTTTTTCCCGATCTTCAATCCTAACCTCAGAAACTTGTATTCCCGTTTGTTCTTCAAACACCATGTCTGCAGTTGTTGATGAAACTTTGGGACTCTCTTTGAACTCAATTTCTTTTTCCGATAAAACTGCTTGAGTATGTACAATACTTTCAAAGGGAATCTGCAGCGCAGTAGCCGTAACCGCTGCCACGCTAGGATGGCTAACGGGGCCAACACACATTTCAGTTAGAACTTCCGTTTTTTCGGCAACATCCTGCCCAGAAACGTCGGGTACAGCTACCCGGGATTTCGGTGCCACCCAGTCTTGGAATGTAGATTCACTGTCCCCAGGTTGCACTTCTGAAACCACCTGAACTGACTTTGCTTCTTCTATTAACGTACCTGCAGTTTTAGTCGTCGGCTTGAAACTTCCAGAAAACGGCACTTCAAGCTCATGAGCTGCATTTTCTGAAATCTCAATACTATGCAGAGTCTCTTGAACTTGTACACCGGTCTCTTCCTGTCGCTGCTCTTTGGGGATTTCTGGAATGCTCGTTTCCAGCAACACTTCTGTTTTTTCGGCTATGTCCTGTGCGTCCGTCAAATCTTGTACTGCCCGCCTTTCTTTTGGGGCATCAGGGCTCTTATATAGTTCTTCGCGTTCTGATAAGTTAACTTCAGACACTAGAAGACCCTTTTGAGATACGTAGTCCTGATCTGCAGTACGTTTTTCAGGTAAGTTGTCCCCCACAAACTCTTCTTCTTTTTCATTTATGGGTATTTGTGTAGTCAGTATATAATTGTGAGCTTGTTGTGATGACGAGGCCGTTGTTGTCAAAGTTTTCACATCCTGTAATTCTCCAGTAGATGTTTCAGGAACGACAAGTAACTGCTGAGCGGTCTCCTTTAATGTAACATCTGGTACAGCAACTTTAGCCGCAGGCATTTCTTTTTCGGGAAGAGTATTTTCTCTTTCACTTAGCTCAATAGAAGTGACCTCTACTCCTACCAACTCAGTCAGTTCCAAAGTTGCAGTATTCGTTTTAATCTGACGACCGAGGTCTAGAGCAAGCTCACTTTCTTGAACAGTTGCTTGTGTTTGTGATAAGCCTTCGAACGGTATGTGCCCATACTGAGCGCACGCTTCTGGTACCGATGTTGCACTTACATCTCCTAATGAAATCTGACTCTCAACCTCAGAAACCACAGATGCTTCCTGTAGGTCGACGCCTACTGTAGCTCCCCTCGGCTGAGGTACGCTAGTCGGCAAAAATGCAGCCTCGCTGTCTTCCACAAGTGCCTCGGTAACATTTAAACTCTTCTTTACTTCGAATACGGGAGTCGCCGTTTCTTGTCCAGTTTTCGCAATCCTGTCGTACGGCTCTTCTTTTTCTTGTACTGTCGTTTCGGCTCTAACTACAGCCTCGAAAGGTATCTGGTCAATTACTGCCTTTCTTTCAAGTTCCTTTTGAAGTTGCAGCTCCAGTACAGATGATTCCAATCTCACTGTAGTATTGACAGCAACTTCGTGTGTGCTAAGAGCAGGCTGAGCAAATTTCCCTAAAGGGTTCTCAGATGAATCAAAACTGGTTTCTTTGTCTTGGGGGAATGTCTCTGTTATCTGGACTTGCGATGCTTCCTCGTAGAAAATGTCAGCTACTTTAGAGTTGGGTTTTGAGTCGTCTTCGAGGTTGCCTTCTATTTCAGCTAATGCCGTTTCGGTAAATATTATACCTTGGTGTGAAATATGGTCAAGACTTGCCTTAACGCCCACTGGTGCTGATACTGAAAAACTATCAACAGTAGCTTGAGGAACAACCTCCGAACTCTGTGCGATTTCGTGGCCAGATACATACGGTGCAGCAGTTTTGCCTTCGGGTGTCTCAAAGTGTGGCAACACTGCTTCTTTCTCATTAGCAGTATTTAATGAGACGCTCAATCCAATTTCTTCTATAAACGTCGATTGGGCCGTTTTATTTTCTGGTTGCGTGACTGGCAAAAATTCAGACTCGTTTTCAACCGGTTGGTTGACGCTTACGCTGATAGTTTCGTGTGGAACTTGGTCAGGCATAGCACGTAGGAAAACAGGCTTGCTTTCAGAAAAGGCACTAGCTTCAGTGTGAGCGATCACTTCAGTCGTCTGCGCAACCTCATTGGACGGTATATCAACGAGAGCCCGTTGCTCTTTTGGTATTTCTACTGATGACAAGGATCCTTCTTTAAAGGCCAAATTTACTTCTTTTACTGTCAACACTTGTCCAGCTACATTTTCAAACGCAACACCTGCATTTTGTCCTTTCGGCTGAACAGATGTTGTGCAGTCACCCTCCTTTTCCCCGGTCGCAGTTTCAGTCATCGTCGCAATTTGCAAGCCGTCCTGTTCAGGCTTAGCAGTTTCCCTTATTGGAGACACTCTGTCCCAATCAATAGCGTGTTGATTTAATAGCAACTCCTCCGTTTGTGCCACTTCCCGTCCAGAAATGCCAGGAAGTGCTGTTCTCAGCTTAGGCGCGGCAGGGGATTCAAATCGGTCTTCCTTCGTTTCGGTTTCTACCTCCGCCAAAGAAAAGCTTTCCATGGTACCAACAACGACGCTTGCCGTATGGGAACCCGGTTGTTTGTGCGAAGGAAGCTCGCGCTCGCCTTCGCCCACAGCAGTTTCCGTAACTACGAGACCACTAAATGGCTCCTGTTCTGTCTTCGCTCGGCTGGATACCGGTGATGGCGAGGACAGCTCATCCGTCATATTTTGAGGCATTACAACACTTTGAATAGCTATCTCCCTTGCAGGCACAGACGCTTCAGCAAAGATGGGCTTTGGGCGGTCATCTGGCACGAGGGTGGACTCAGTCTCGTGAGGTTGAATGTCCATGACAGATAGCCCGGATACTTCGTCTGGAAACTGAATCAATGCAATTTTTGAATCAGGCATAGCAAGTTTAGGGAAGTCACCTTCTTTTTCAGCCAAATCTGACTGACACACGACAACGCCCTCAACAGTGGAATGTTGTTGTTTCGCGCTTCCAGTTTGAGGCATGTCTTCGTTAAAATCATGCGCGACATCCTGCAGCAGCACCTCGGATGTTATCGGTAGTGTTTGTCCACAGATATCTGCTGAAGCAAAGCATTCTTTCGGTTTTTCAGCCAGCTCTATTGGAGCTTCTTTATCTTCGGAGAAAACTTCAGTTTTAGTCACAGCTTCCCTCCCGGTTACAAGGACATCTGCCAGCTTACTTATCACAACCGGTGTTTCTTGAGGCAAAATGCCTTCGCTAACGACGATTTCTTGAACGACAGTTTCGGAAAGAGTATCCGTTTCAGTATGAGCTTTCTCAGTTTTTGGTGTATCCGCAAGAAGCTCACCTGTTTTAGCTTCCGGGCTAATTTCCTCAATTTGTAAAGAGCTAGCAAGTTGCGAAGCCGTGAGTTTTCCTTTGTGTGCTTCCGGAAGGTCATACACTCTAAGAGGTTCTTCTTTGTCACCACTTTGTGCCTCAAAAATAGAAACTCCAAATTGATGTCTGTATCCTGGAGTGCCTAGGGCCGGAGCTAGCGGCTCTTTCGTTTTCAGTGGCTGTTCCTTATCGTGAAGTTGCACCTCCCAAACCTCTGCTGCTTCTGTTAGTGCAACAACTGTAGCCGCCTCGTCTGTTCTATATTTCAGAACGTCAGAAAATTCTGATGGGACGTCACTTGTTTGCACCACTGTAACACCAAGAGATTCTTCTTCTCGAACAGAAGTTTCTGCCACTGCTTTTAATGGGCCCTTAGGCACTACAAGATCTCCTTCGGACTCCAGACCGACAGGTAGAGTCACCCCTGAAAGTTCAAGGCAACTTACACTTGCAGTAGCGTGCTTCATGTTCGGCAGTGTTTCCTCAGAGAGTGTGCCTTCTTTCTCAGCGGTAGTAGTAAGCGATGTCAAGACTGACTCTTGTAATAGAACGTCAATGTCGACCACCCTTTTCTCTATAGCGTCGACATTTAGCAGTGTTTCAGAATCTTGGGACAGAGTCGAACTGACAAGTACGCTTTCTACTGTAGCCAAACTTTCGATCGCTTTAATCTTTTCAGGAGTGCGCAAAATATCCAAATTACTTTCTTTTTCTTCCACGCCTGGAGTTGTAACAACAGCTGTTTCAATCGGAGTGACCCACTGAGAGGCTTGTTGTGACGGGGGCAGACGTCCTGGCACAAACAAACCCTCAGTTTCAGGCGCCTGAAGTACGTCTGTCGTCACAGACTGCTGCGCTATCACGCTCTTTGTCGCGGTTTCAGTTGGCACAATAACTTCTGGGACGTACTTTTCAGGCCTGGTTTCCAAAAATACTTCACTGACAATGAGTGGTTCATTAGACGGGATCCCAATTTTGGGTTTAACTCCTGGAGTTGCACGACTGTCCAAAGTTTCTTCCTTAATATTGTCATCAACCACGAGAACAGAAACACTTTCGTTTACACCAAACTTCTTCTCAGCTTTGAGTTGTATAGGAGACTTTCCAGAATCAAATGACTTTTCCTTATCAGAAGTTTGTACTTCAGTAACCGTTGTGGCTTCTTGGGGTATAAGGGACATGGCTGCTGATTGTTTGTCGAGAACAATTTCGTTAGCAGCTGACGTTGATTGGCCCGCCTCTGTTACACTAACGACTATACCTTCGCTCTGAACAAATGTTTTACTTGCTGAATAAGACTGGGGTTTAAATACCTCGTCAAATTCACCTGGTGTCACTTGAACCTGAGGTTGTGTCACTGAGACGGGTTCCAGCGGTTCTTGGTTTTGCGCGGCCCGAACAGAAAGTGTAGTTACGTAATCATTGTCGGTTTCGCGTTCTTCGCACTTGACTATCTGTCCAGCGACTGCAGAATGCGTAAGAAGGCTTACTTTAACTTTGTCTTGAGGCACAGCCAGCTCATCCCCTATTTCCGTCGGCGTTTCTGAAGGCATAGTAATTGCCATTGCAGATGTTGAATACAATGGTAGTCCTTTCAGTACCGCTTCTGTTTCTTCTTGAAGCGTACCAGTAAAGTCTTCATTAATGTATTCATCCGATTCATCTGGCATTTGAGCGCGGATAGTTTTGACAACTTTTCTTACACCACCTTTAATAACTTCAATGTTTACTTCAATTTCCTCATCAGTTTTTTCCGTAGTTAACTTTTTAACTACTTTTTTCTTTTTGGTGCCCTTTTCAATTGTTTTTTGTGATGGAACATCCAACTCTTCTGCATGCTTGTAGTCATCGTCTGGTTGAGTCACAATGGCCGTGTCCGTTTCTGCTATATTGTAATCATCTTCATGCAGCTCCGAGATTGTGACGCCTTCGTCCCTAGCGTGTGGCGTGTGTTCTTTTGTTGCCATTCCGGTTTGCGTCTCCATTTCTTCGAGGGTTTCTGTGAAATGTAACGCCATTGTAATGTCAATGATTTAAGATATGTCGTGGTCTGCGGTAATCTGCATTATTGCAAATAACAGTTGAACACATTTAGCATTATAGTAAATACAAATAAACTGTCTTTTTGATGCAAGATTTTAACACTTTATACTCGAAACGTAACATCTGATTATTTTAGACGACGCAAGAATGAAGACTACTGCAGGACCCAGAAGTACTTCAAGTAACTCTCATAGTGAAAGCATGATAAGAGTGAAGGTGATGTGCTTTAAGCGTGATTTACAAGTTTGCTTTTGAAATGTGATCTCATAGCATCACAGTTATAAGTGTTAGAACTATTCTTCTGTTAGGTGAGCAAAATGGAATGTCGAGATAGATACATATCCTGATGATCAAACGACAATGTGCGTTAATATTACTGACGAAAATCAATAAATATTCTATTGTGCCCCACATTACAAAAACATTTACTTTGCTCAAACAAAATTATCGTTCGACCATGCTGGAATACTGTTTCGACTGCAGAGGGTTAAAAAGTTTTATACTTCTTGTTACATGTTATGGCAAAATTTATGAACACGATTGTGATTTGATGTTAATGGCAAAGATGTAATTTTACATAGATTGTCTGTTAGGTGGAACAGCAGATGGCTCGACTTTCATTGCTGAATGGATTTTGACCGAGCTCAGGGTGTTTTCAAAATTTGACCTAAGAGTCTCTACGTTTTAGACTAAAACGTAGGTGGTTCTGTAAGTTATGCTTAACACACCATAATGATCTGAGTTATATTTGGAGTGTAATTTACGACGTGATAGTTAATTATAATGATCATCACGAATAATCTAAGATCAGTTGAATAGCATATGGTCATGTAAAACTTAATATGTAATTTCAGAGTTCGTAATAAAAGTCTTATCTGGCAAAGAAAATTGCCAATCAAGCCAATCTCCTTACTGGGTTACTCACCATAAATAAAGAGCAGTAGGGCACTCTTCAAAACATTTGTTACAGAAGCAGTCATAAGCGGAAGACAGTGTAACAAAAGCACCGATGAAACCACGGGTTCCCGTGCAAGCAGGATTCAGGTAAAGCTATAAATCTTTTTGAGACAGTCGATGACGTTTTTAAGCACATGGTACGAAAGCCTTGTTATTTAAAGTAATGAGGCTCTTTTAAAAGGGTGCGATTAAAAAAAAAAATAAAGCGAAATGTTAGCTGAATAATCTTTTCACAAGTTTAATGTGCACCCGCAATACATTGCTTAGTTTTGAATGCGTATACAGTTTCTTTGGAGTGGCACACGTATTATAACCAACAAATAGGACAAAATTACTCCAATTTCATGTCCAAGGACATTCCATTGTTCTAGCTAAGCGTTGCCAATCCTTCCCATTTTTATTCTAATTGTAAGGCAAAATAATTATATGAGAATGTATAGCGACAGCGTAATAAATCGCACGCAAACACAAATTACGAAGGGCCAAATACGGCTATCAATTTCAAAACAGCGATTTTAAGAAGTGCGTTTTAGTAATCTGTGTTGTTTGTCATACCTTCTCTTTCATCCTCGACGTGCGTAGACCGTTTTTTCATCACCACTTTCTCGTCTGAACAGAGAAAAATGGGTAAGTCAGAAACAAAAACAAGTTTGTCACCTTGCTTGCAAAAAAAAAATGACAATCCGTTTTGAAGAACAAATTTTACCACTCGTTGAGAGTAGAACAAATTTTGGCAGGTAGAGGCCAAACATTTGCAGTTTTAAAATAACATCGAAAGGAGTGCCAAAATTTTCGTAGCTCAGGTGCCTCCATACTGAACGCATTCAGCGTGTCACGTCCGGCAGTTGTAGCCCCACCCCTGGGTCAGTTTACGAAGCTCTCAGCCCTCGAGGTAAGATTCACACGTGTGTGCATGCGCGTGCTCGCGCCTGTGTTGACGAATCTGAAGTTGATCGACACGTACAGTACACTATTGAAAAGGAAACTGTTACGTGGCATAATATGTCGTTATATTTAAGTTATTTATCACATATTCGACAAGACAGTATTTGAAACGTCGAAGTTGGCCCCGAAAGGATAATCTTATGTTCAGATCACCTTCTCCACTGATCTTAAGAGGGTTTAGACCCTAACATAACATAAAGCGAGCTGAGTATTCACTTGGCTTTCAGGTTAACATTGATATTTTTTGATTAGTGACACGACGTTGGGTTCTCGAGATACTTTCGTTTTCCTCACAGAGCCTAAGACTAGTCAAACCAACGAGCCTTGAGCCGAAAGACGAGCCTATAGCCGCCGGGCCGAGATGAAGCATCTCGAAGCGAGCGTTGGGCAGAAGAGTATAATTTTCTTGAAATCCCGACATTGCATCACAAACCTGAGTAAATTAATCGACGTATGTCGATGGCCTTCAGATGCGTTTAGAGCGACAGAAAGGTGGTCAAAACACTCAGCGTCAACCCAAGCGCTCGATTTCTAACTGAGGAGCTTCTAGTTAATCGGCGCACTTGCACACGGATTGAATAGTACCGGTCATACGCCGAGAAGTTTGGACAAATTTAAAAGAAAATTAGTATTAGAATTTTGGGGGGCACGTGGTTACCAAATGTCCATATGCTTCGTCTAATGGTCTGCTGCACAGTCTACAGCAGGGGTCGTAAACTCGAGGAATCCACCGAGCCGTGCCTTCATAGGCCACACGCATTACGAGCTCTTCGGCAAAAAGAGTGAGATGTAGAGGTTGTGGTGCCTCGGCGATTGACTCGTGCCGAGCCGCGCTGCTGTCACTGCCGGCTGGTGTGTCTGTCTTTGTCACTCTCAATGGCAACTCAAGAAGTGGGACAAAAATAGACACACACCAGACCAGTTGTCCTGCGACAGACGAGGACGGCTGGGTCCAGCTCAGCCTTGAGCCAGAGCTCGGCTCTCGGGATTCTCGAATCAACCGAACGCAAGAGGTGCGCGGTTCTTGACGAACAGCGCTACTAGGATAGGCGAGCCGCGGCTTTGTGACCCCTGGTCCAAAGGTTTCAGTCTGACACCGATATTTATTACTGTTAATAAGAACAATCCACACCGACGCGTCCTAACAACAAGAGCCGATCTACGGCGCGTAGAATACACAAAAGCCGATATGCAACGGTCCAAATACACAAAAGCCTATCTGAAAAGCGCGGGATTTGGGACACCTTAAAAAACGGGTTATTACTCCGTATCCGCTCGTTTTCCATAAATTTTTGCAGTCAAAATTTAAACATTGGACCTTTACGATATTTTCCGTGTGCGCAGGTTGCCCTGAACGTCTTCCAGTTACTTGCGAACCAAGCAAAGGTAAAGGTCTGCATCCGACCTTGTTTTGCAGATAGGCTTTTGTGTATTCGGCGCACTGCATATCGGCTTTTGTGTATTCAACGCGCTGCAGATCGGCTCTTGTTCTTAGGACGCGTCGACACTCAGTTTTGTTGTCTGGCCTGAACCTTTCCCTCCGTGCATGTGCATGCATAAATCGACGGTTGCGGCAGTGCCCGTAAGGAAACCACCATCAACAGTTCTAAAATAAATGCTACAACCAGTGCAAATGAACCGCCACGAAACTAGTCTTAAAATCTAATTTTAAGAAACAGCCGACAAAAGTATATAGCGCTTTGGAAACACTTGTACCTCTATATATGATTTTGCTTATCTTTGAAATTTTCACCCACACCTCACCTTAAGATCCTTAACCCGATGAAGCCAGATAAAAACAAAATAAGTGTACAGTAAGATACCTATGTATATGGTTTATGGACCTTAGATTCGATTCGTGGTTTTTATGCCTCAAATTGGTTACCTTTCAGGCAGCGATGAAGGCATATACCCCCCCCCCTACCACCACCACCACTACTACTACTACCACAAGCCAGTTTTTTTTAAAATTATTTTATTTCACGAAGTATTCAAAGCTCTGATTGAATTTTGTTAATGGAAAGGGTTACAAACTTACCAGTCAAGACTTCGGTGCGGCGCGAAACACTCACGGTGCTTAGCTTCGAAGTCTCCACCTGTGAAAAAATATTCCCCAATCAAGACATTGCCGCGTTGAATATGCCTTAATACGAACCAAATACTACATGCCTTGGTTGCCTCTGACGTTTCCCAAACAGGCATGTGGAAGTCTTCAGGGCTGAAATGTGTGAGAACCTCTTCAACGGTTACATGACGAAGCTGTATCATACGCATAAAGGCTCTAAAGCCTACAGTTTTTGCGACAGTGGTTTCGTCCGCCGTTGTTTCTTCAGTCAAAACTTGTGATATCAAAGTACCATGTCCTTCACGCTCCACTAGTGAGACAAGCGCCGATTGTGCCGAAGGAGTACGCAAAGCAGGAAATTCGTCTGTTTCGTGGTATACCGACGTAATGTCACTCACTGTCACTCCATGGCGAACAAGAAATCTAAAAAAGAAAAATGGTAAACATTTGCAATTTCTTTAGTGGAATAGGCCAGTTAATTTTAAAATTAGGTAAATCTTGCAAGCGTACCCGATTTGAGCAAGTTCGCGAAGTGGTGATTCACCAGGACCAAACTCTCGAACATTCATCAACTCCATAATGTCATTAACCTCTTTCGCCATCATTACTCTGTGCTTCTTAATAATTTCTTGCACTTTCACGACTGTTACTTTGGCATCCTTGAGACCTTCTGCCTCAGACGGTTTTGCTTTCCGTATCTTTGGTTTCTTGTCTTCGAGTAAGTCAACTGCCTCATGTGCTGGCTGTGTCTCACTCACAGCAAGACCCTCCTGAGGAGAGAGGACCTGTTGCGCCTTATCCTTTGGTTTTTCCACGCGTTGCGAATCATCTACTTTTTTACAGGAGGCCACTGCTGACACAGCAACAGAATCTTGAATGGATTGCCGTCTCTGGGCAAATTTCTGAAAGCAGGTAGACAGGGTTTGCAAAATACACATTTTTTCTGAAGGAACACGTACAGAAATAAGTAGATCTAGGTTGTCTCCGTGGGACCCATTGTACACTGTCAAATTCCTTCAAAGCAATGCTTCGAGGGAATTTAATAGTGTAGAGACTTGGCTAATTTGTATATCTTAAGTGCGCCTCGATATCGTTTAAAGAAGCTGTATAACCTACGCGGGCATATGCATTGGAAACATTTTGAAGACCACGAACGTCACTCGAAAGGAAATGAATTATTGAATGAAGTGAATACAAGGCGCACCACCAGAATGAGCCAGGATCGGCGGATCGATCCTTTGATAAGGTTTCGAAAGCGAAAGGGAATAAGGTGTTAATTACGAACCTGCTATTCGCAAGTTTTTTGAGTATTCACACATCATCCCGAGCAAAACATGTGCGTTTCTAAACATTGTTCGTTACAGAAGGCAGATACTATTTACGTTCAGCGGTACACAGGTACACATCAACCGGCTTTCCCTAATGCCGACAAAAACGGTTTAAACTAAAGGTTTTTTGTCTCCATCTTTAGACCCAAAGTTGTAGTATGTAAGCTTTTATGCACTTTTAGATCAATAGACCGATACTTACAGAATCAACAGTTTCCGTAAACTGGCTTGCAGATTCCAAAGTCTGAACTTGCTCAACAGACGCATGATCTCTGAAAGAGAGCACGAGTTATAAACGGAGAATAATCGACGCAATATAAATTGAAGCCTTACCTTTCATCGGTGAGTCCCCACCGTGGTCGCCTTTTCTTTTTCTCCCGCTTTTTATCGAGTTTCACTTTTTCCAGCTTTACTTTCTCTTCCTCTTCTTGGGCTATTTTTAAAATTTTCTCCTCCTTTCTTTCTTCGGGTATTTCTGAATCGTAATAAAAATATAAGCACACATAAGTTGACGAAAATTGCATTTCCTTAAACGCCAAACAAATTGTTGCAATATTCAATTTTGAACCTTTAGCACTACATTGGTCCAAACCATAAATTTTAGGAAAGAGGGCAGTCGAAAGGTGCAACTTCTTTCAGCATTTTGTCATATTTAACAGTCAATAGACCATTTCAGTCAGTGTCCGTATAGGCTAGTGGGGCGGAAAAGAACCAAACCGGAAACAGATTACTAGGCCGGAGCCCTAAAACAAGGTGGTGGTGAATGTTTCCGGTTTCACTTGTAAACAATAGTTTTACGGGAAAATTTTCCATGAAGCGTGTCGTAAAATTACAACTCAAAATTATAAATTACAAGCTCAATATGTTGACTTATGACCCATCGACGAGCAGGATTGGGGTACGACAAATTTACAAAATATTTTCTAAATATTAATTACAAAATATAAGGTAAATTTACGACAATATTTTCCACAGTGTTAGGTTCTTCTTTTCTTTCCCACTTGCCTTGCCTGCTTCGGAGGTGTAGGTGACAGTTAAAAAAGCGGCCAAAGACAGGAATCGAACCCGGGACCACTGGTCCGCAGACCACGTCACACTGATACCATGGTGAGCGGGCTGCGAGGGGGAAACGACTACTAAGGTAATCCGGCTGACAGCCGTTAGGTAATCCGGCAGGTGTAATCCGAGGAAATTCGAAAAAATCCGGGGCAATCCGGGGAAATTTTAGGGTAATCTGGGGTTATCCTAGATAAAAAGCAATAACGTAATCCGGAGGTTACTCCAGAGGTAATCCGTAATCTCACTGATAAACTAAGTGTTCAACTGCTCAACACTTGCAAGTGTGCAACTGCTAGTTAAATACTTGCAAGTGTGCTACTGCAAGTTTAATACTTGCAAGTGTGCTACTGCAAGTTTAATACTTGCAAGTGTGCTACTGCAAGTTTAATACTTGCAAGTGTACAACTCAGTGTGTGCACTTGAAAGCGTGCAACTCCTTGGTTTAGCACTTCCTACACAGTGAGCGTTCAATCTAAGGAACTGTTCAACCGAGGAGTTGTACACCTACCGAGTTAAACACTTGCAAGTGTACGACTACGGAGTTGCACACTTGCAAGTATTTAACTTACAGTTGCACACTTACGAGTGTTGAGAAGTTGAACACTTAGTTTATCAGTGCTGGCTAACACAAAAGGTAAACAGTCTCGGCGGGCTGTGTATTATTCGAGGTACGGAGCAGTCACTCACATTCCGTGTGATACATTAGACAAGTCCGATCCAGAAGAATAAAACGTATCTACATATAGTGTTGAGCTTATCCTCCCAACCTAACTTTCTGGCAAAACACGAAACGAAAAACGCAAAATTGTTATGGCAAGGAGCGCGCCGGGTGAGGGGCACGGTGCGTCATGCTTCGTGTTTTCCTGTCCAGGGGCACGGCGAAATTTAAACACTCGCACGAATTGACTTGATTCAGTGACGGCCGTAAAATGAGCAGATTTTTGTGCCGTTGTGTTACGAAGTCAACTTACCTGTGACGCTGAGTTTAGCCTTTGTTATTGCCATGCCAATATCACTAGTGGCTTTGCAGACGTATATACCAGCATCTTCGGGAGATGTACATTTTACTGTACACGTCGTCTTGCTCTCCTCGATAGTAATTCTCACCTTCTCTGTGTTACGAACGATTTGATCGTCATGGTACCAAATAATATCTGGAAAAGTAGTAGGTTATGAAGTAAAAATAAAGTGTCACACATTGTGCTTTTGTGCTTGTTCGTAAATTGAACTATTTCACACCAACCTGGTTTTGGTGTTCCAGAGTAAACGCACTCGAACACGACGGTATCAAGCTCCTCTACGTAGGCATCTCTAATTTCCACCTCGATACTCGGAACTGCCTGCACAGCTGCAACGTTGAAGCAGGAAATTAAACCAAAATATAAGTCGCATTGAAACACAAAATTCGAATGAATTTCAGAATTGCAGTTAGTGTGCTCAGTTAGGAACGAAAACAACGCAAAAACGTACGTACCGGCGACATCTGCTAACCCTTACTGATGAATGAAACTCTGCCAACAGTGCTGTTCGTATTAAACTGTACTATTCAGTTGAAAAAACTATCATTCAGTAACAAGGGTCAGGGGGTCAGTTAATTAGAGGGGGACAAAATTTTTCGCAGGTTTTGCAGCCTTGGCCTTGA